ACTTATTTGGCTCTCTCGTCAACAGTGCTCTTTGAATGAAAATTATGGAATCGTCTAGACACGCTGAAATCATATCTCCACAACTCACTGGCACCAATCCAAACAGGCGCAAAAATTATTTTTCCCTTTCTTTTTGATCTCATGAAGTATGAAGCTCATAATAGTATTAATCACAACAAAAATATTTTGAAAAAATCAAAAAAAAGGAAATTTTCAAAGTTGCGAATTGTGGTGGTTACTGCCTTTAACTCTACCCATATTGTAAGTCCTACCAAAATTTTCTTGTGTGAAAGAATGTCTAAATGCACATGTATAGCATATTCCAACGAATTCTTTAAAGGTGACTTTAACGGGGAGGCGTCTCCCTTCAAATGCCGTTTGATCATATATTAAGAGTAGTTTTAATCGGAACTGAGATTGGTTGCACCACCTAGCCGTTTCAAATACTATTCATTATTTAGTCAGGTATCCATTTACTCATCAAAAAGAACTTACCCTATGCTCCAAACATCAATTGCTGGACCATAATGTTCGTCACCCAATAGTAGTTCAGGAGGACGATACCATAGTGTGATGACTCGATTCGTGTATAGTCTTTCCTGATCCGATGAATAATAGCGTGCAAGCCCAAAATCAGCAATCTTTAATTCACCTCTGAAAAGGTGATATCAATTCGATGGGAGAATGTGAGTCAGTCTTGGGTCGGCCACTATGCAAAATTTTATAATAAACACATTTGAATATTACCTGTTATTCAATAAAATATTACTGCATTTTATATCACGATGAAGAAACCCGGCTGAGTGACAGTAATCAAGACCCTAAAAAATGAGAAACGAAAGTAAAAAAGGACGTCACTCTGAAACATAATGTTGATCAATCCATTTTAAAAGCAAACGCACCAAAATTAACTGTTTGAATAAACTTCGAATTTGATCATTGTGAAAGTTGATTAGGTGCGAAGCTTCAAGCAATCCCATAAGATCGTGATCCACATATTCAAAAACCAAATAAAAATTTGCTGAAAGCGATTAGCGTTATCAAAAATGACTGAAACGTAAATATAGGATATCTTAAATTATTAAAGCTTCAAGGTAATACCTCTTTCTGTCCGCATATCCGCTGCTGATAATTTATCTGTGACTATATCGATAAGTTTCACAACATTCGCATGATTGAGTTGTCGCAAGATTTTGATCTCACGAACAGCCGTGATAGGGAAACCCTCTTTTTCATTCTCCAGTCGCACTTTCTTGAGGGCAACTTGTTCGCCTGAATGATGTTATGATTAACTACATTTGCAAGAGTCTAGA